AAGATACCAGATTTGGAAAGGAGAGTTCTGGTGGTGTCCATTGGCACCAAAAAGACAACATTGATCCCAGCTAACCAGTGCAAACAGTAGCTCATCCACCTGTTTAACAAAAGATGTTGGAAGAACAGTATTAATTTTTGAATAACTACTATTTATTTTGGGAGTTTGCAACTTGGGAAACTGCATTTTCTCTCCTAATAAAGTGCTACTTCTGAGGAAATCTGACATGAGCGTGTCTTCTTTTCCCCAACACCCTGGGAGTAAAAATCAACACTTTTTTTTTAAAAAAAAGAGAAAGGGCCTGTCTGTGGCTCTATTTGTGGCATAAAAGAATGAAGCCAAGGAAATATTTTCAGTCCTGAAAGGTGAAATTATTTGCAGCTGAGCAGCAGAGATGTTCATCTCCACCAGCTCTGTTGAGGTAACAGTTGCAGCAACTATTTTGAGTGGGATTTTCAGTCAGAAGAATAATGAACCGTTTTCTTTTCTACTGTGAAGAAATCGGTTACAGTTTTGAAACATATACATGTTTAAATTCCTTCTTGGATGTGTGTGTGTGTGTATACAGAGAGAGAGAGAAAGGGAGGGAGGGAGAGAGAGAGAGAGAGAGAGAGAGAGTTTTGGGGGTCGGTTTAGAATTCGGGGAATGACTAGGGAATTGTTTTCCCTGTTTTGTTTTTTACAAGTCTACCTTTAATCTGACTTTCTGGAAGCTTGGGCAAACAAGAAGGCTGTGTAGATGGATTTTGATTTCTGGCCCGAGTTTGCTTGGATTTGCTTCACAGACCTACCTAAACCGCTTTCCCATCCTAACAGCATGAAGTGGATTAGCTAGTTTCACACGGGCCTCTTTTTTGTTTTTTTTTGTTTGCTCTTTCTCTCATGCTTTCAGGTGGAATTTAAAAAGTGGGTTCTTTTTTTTTAGTTTTGTTTGTATAAACCTGGAATGTTCTTAGTTTTGGATTTGCTTCCCCCACAGCTTCTATGAAGGAAGTTTCTCTCCGTGTGTCTTGGTTTTGAGTCTACTGAACTGTTTTTCTTACTAATAAGTATGCATCAGTCTCCTAACAGTTTCTCATAGACTTCATTGCCAGATTCAGAACCAGAGAATGTAGTGGAAGAAGGGGAGAGAAATATAGCTCCCCCCCCCCAGTGGGCTATTGAAAACAATAGGGTATATACTGTATTAGGGGTGAGTAAATCAGGTCCAATTTGAAGTTCAAATAGAATTTTGATGCAGGTAAGGATGGGGGAGAAGCCTTGAGCTTCTCAGAGAAATCAGGCTAGATCTTTAATAAGTAAGGTAAATATGTAAGAGCTGTGGTGGTGCAGTGGTTAGAATGCAGTATTGCAGGCTACTTCTGCTGACTGCTGGCTGCCTGCAATTTGGCAGTTCAAATCTCCCCAGGCTCAAGGTTGATTCAACCTTCCATCCTTCCGAAGTCAGTAAAATTGTTGGGGGCAATATGGTGCCTCTGTAAACTACTTAGAGAGTACTGTAAAACATTGTGAAGCAGGATAGAAGTCTAAGTGCTATTGCTATTGCTAAAGGTAAAGGTTTCCCTGTCAGCCATGTTTGACTCTAGGGCAAAATGCTCATCTCAGTTTTTTGCCAAGGGAGCTAGCATTGTCTGAAGATAATTTCCATGGTCATATGGCCAGCATGGTTACATGCCAAAGGTGCACAGAGAGCTATTAACTTCCCACCAAAGTGGTACCTATTAATCTACTTGCTTTTGCATGCTTTTGAACAGCTAGGTGGGGCGAGTAGCAGGAGTTCACCCGGTTATGCAGAGCTTTCCAGCTGACAAGCTCAGAGTCTTTAACTGCTGAGCCGTCGTGCACCAAGGCTTTAATAAATAAATAAACACTATAAAACCAAATTATACCAGATTACCAAATCCGAACAATTCAGTTGGATTTGATTCATGTTCACATAATGTCTGTGTACATGCACTGAAAATCTCTGTATTGGTCTGAATTGGACCAAATTCACTCAAGCACATTTGATTCAATAAACGAGTCCCTTCTGCTGATTAGATTTATCAAACTGAATTCATTTGAACACATTTGATTCAATCAATGGGTGCCCTGTCATGATTTGATTTATCCAGTTGATCTAAACGTTTGAACTAACCAAATCTTCATGGAGTCAGGTTCAAACAATTGAATATTGGCACAAACATAGGATTTGCTTGAAGGAAGATGTCCAATATTTGGAGACTGGGGGAGATCAGCACATATTCCCTTTCCTATCCCCACCATCATTCATGCCATCATTCATGCCAAGTTCTTTTAAAAGAGGACCTGACCTGGAGTGCTCACATTGCAGCCCTGGTCAAAAGGGTCCAGCAGAGATTATATTACCTGAGGCTTCTCAGAAAACAACAACTGAATGAAAAACTGCTGGTGACCTTCTACCACTGCACCATAGAGAGTATCTTAACTTACTGCACCTCTGTATGGTTTGCCAATTGCACAGTGGCAGATAGGAAAGCACTCCAGAGGTTTAACGTCATTGCCCAGAGGATCATTGGTTGCCCTCTCCCCTCTTTGGAAGAGCTTTATAGCTCCTTCTGCCTTAAGAAAGTTCAAAACATTCTCAAAGATCCATCTCATTCTGGGCACTCTTTTTTTGAACTATTACCATCTGGCAGATGGTACAGGATAATAAAAACAAGGACAAATAGGCTAAAAAACAGCTTCTATCCCAGGGCAGTAGCTCTTTTGAATTCTGCTGTATAGTGCAGTGTTGGTGCAATGTCAGGGGTTTTCAATTCAATGTGTGGAGCGTGAAGGATGTGTGTTCATGTTTATTTTCATGGTCATGATGTGCACTGAAGGTGGTGTTTGATTTCATTGTATGAGGTGCAATGACAATAAAGTAAACTAAACTAAACTAAACAACTTATTATACATAAAATCTAGGGTTCTGACTTGTGATGTAGAAAACCTTTCAAAGACAAATTTGAAATGTACAACAGCTCATTAGATAACCATAACTTTCTCTTCTTTTCCTATTTGTTGTTTATTAATATTGTATTTGTCATTGGTACATTATTAACTACTGCCACACATCTAGATACCCACACCCGATGACAAACCAAGCTTTTAAGGCCCTGTGAAAGGCTGACAGGGTGAGGGACAATTGAATCTCTGATGGCATGATATTCCAAAGGGTAGACGCCATGATTTTATGGTCCTGTTATCTTTAGTTTCATTTATTTTTCTAACAGATTGACTTTTACATGAAAGTTTGAAAGCAAGAGCAGGTGGCACAGGTGCCTAGCAGTTAAGATGCTAAGCTTATTGACTGGAAAGTTGGCTGTTTGAGACCCAAGTACCTGGGTGTGACTGGATGAGCTCCTGTTCTTGCCCCAGCTCCTGCCCACCTAGCAGTTCAAAAACATGCAAATGCGAGTAGATAAATAGGTACCATTTTGATGGGAAGGTAAGAGCATTCTGTGTGCCTTGGCATATAGTCATGTGTGATGACCCAGGTATACAAAATACAAACAGTCACAAAAAACAGGTGAAGCCCCTTTTATTCCTTCACTTTGCTTCCAAGCTCCAATATCCTTAACTGGAGACAAAAAACTCCCATACAAGCAGTTACAAAAAGGAGAAAATGCCATTTAAATTATAAAGAGTAAAAAACAACACAAACCAGGCAAGATAATGGCTTGAAGATGTCCACAGATATCAGAACACACACTGGGAAGGACGCCAAACTCAGAGAGGAACAATAAACTAGAGATATTTCCATGCTTTGTTTCCAGCACTCGCCTGTACACATGCCCATCCTCTTATCCAGTTGTCACAGCTGCAGCACATGAAGAGGATCAAGGCCCTCTCCTCCCCAGTAGACCACGTCTCTCCCTTATCCTCTCCTCCCTGCGTGCCCTAGGATGGAGAGGGGATGGGCCTGGGTCCTCCTCTGACTGCCCAGCCAGCCTCTGCCCTTTTTCTCAGTCTCCTCCGCAACCTCCAGAGCCACACTTCCACTTCCTGTCAGCTGTTCCTCCTCTCCCTCAGAGTCAATCTCCACCAGAGGCATGACATCATGTCGGCCACATGACCATTGAAGCATCTTTGGGCATTGCTGGCTCCTTTGGATAGGAAACAGAGATAAGTGCCACCTCCTAGAGTCAGAAATGACTGGACAGGGAAAATTGTTGTATTTATCCCCTATTTTGTGTGAAGCAAGAACACTAAAAATAAAACAAATCATGTACTTCTGAGATTCCTTAAGGTTTTTCAGGCCAACATTCATATTTGCTATTGATAGCCAAGATACAAAATGCTGCATTAAGATTACAGCTTTCATACCATTCATAAAGAGGGATTATATTTTGTTTATGGATTGGGGGTAGTTATCTTTTTATGAAAGTGAGGTATGCTACAGTCAGTGCTTTGGAGGTTGATTCACTAGAGTTTCAAATATTGTTTCCTTTTGTAGCAGGAATGAAATATAGTCAAAATATTCTAAACTGTACTCGAGTTAGCCTCTGGAGGCTGCTCTAAGCATTACTACATTTGCAAAGCATTTTGAACACACCAGAGTGCTCTCAAGGTGTCAGGTATTACAATTAACAGAAGCAGTGTAATTCAGCACAATTGCTTTGTATTACTGCACAAATCATCATCTCTCATGAAACTTCTACCACTCTTATATAGAACTTATTGCTATCATAACACTCCTCCCACCTCAAAGGTTACTATCCAATATTTAATTAGATGGAAGGAAGCCATACAAAGCTCAATGGGATTTCAGTAAGGCTTATGGTAGCATTGCAAGTTACAGAAAAGTGTTTCTCAACTTTAGCAACTTTAAGATGTGTGGGCTTCAACTCCCAGAGAGTTCCCCAAGCAGCCATGCTGGTTGAGGAATTCTGGGAGTTGAAGTCCACACATCCTTAACGTTGCTAAAGGTTGAGAAACACTGTTGTGGAATGTCTCTTTAATGTCTGGCCACCTCTCTCTTTTTTCTGAATGTGTAGGTGCCTTCTTCATTCCCTACCTCATCTTCCTTTTCACCTGTGGAATTCCAGTGTTTTTCCTGGAGACAGCCCTGGGACAATATACCAGTCAGGGAGGGGTCACTTCTTGGCGGAAGTTATGCCCTCTTTTTGAAGGTATGTCAAATCTTATTGTCAAGCGCCAGAAGAATCAGAAGATCCAGGCAATTCAAATGTGTGTAAAGATCTATTGCAAATTTAAGTTCTCTACAAGAATCTGAACTACTAAGGACAAAGCAAATTGGTGGTAGATAAGAGTCAAAGGAATTCAAGGTGGGCTGGATTGCTACATTTTGTGGGTATAAAGGAACTCATGACAGATGACATATTTGATCCTTCCCTCAGGCTCAGCCTGGCTATCTCCTACACTTATGGACCAAGCTGGTTGATTGAATGCAGCTTTATATGAACGATCTCCACTTGACTGTTGTTTAAGAGTCATGAAGATCTGGCTCTTCTCCAAGCCTTTGGTGAGGGAACAGGATAACTTTCACCTCACTACACTTACCACCTTTACCTTACTCTTTTTTTATTGATTTTACTATAATTTCTTTGATTTGTGTGAGCTGTGGTTTTGCATGCTGCTTGCATACCACACATAGGGCTTCACTTGTTTGCACAGTGCAGTTGCTGGCATGCCACAAACTGATGCCATTCCATGGACTGGGAGTTGGGGACTCCTGGTATACAGCAAATTAGAACTTTTGAGAGTGTCTTAAAAATAATAATTGAGATAGGCTCTGTGGGAATATCCCGTATGTTCTCAGGACAAAAATCCACCTGGGGGATAAAGTAAACAAATCAACAAGCTCTTGTGAACAAATACTAATTTCTTCTGTAACTTCAAAATATGCAACTTCAGTAAGGGGGAAAAAAAAGGATTACCACCCTCTCCCCAATTCCAGAATGTCATTTGGATCCCAAAGGTCTAGCAGCATTGTTGCAAACTCTGCTTCTAATTGGAACTCAAAGGTTACTAATTGGATGCTGCTTATTATCCCAGGAATTGCTACTCTTGCTGTTTGATTAAAATAACTCAAACACCTTAATCTTAAAAAAAAAACAAAGGCTGAATATACAGTGAAATCTGGTAGAGATAATTTAAAATGTTTAGACGAAAACCTCTAGCAATTTTAGTTCTGGGTCTTGTTTTTGCCACCTACCACACACAAAGCAATGGAAATGACTGCAGTTACTTCTGAAACACAACATGGCTGTAGAAACAAATCAGTGGCGGGATTCAAACATTGTTGCCACCGGTTCGGTGGGTGTGGCTTGGTGGGTGTGCCCACACTTTGCGAGCACATGTGCACCAAACGCACACTTTGCGCAGGTGCAGAGGCGTTCTAACTCCTGCAAGCCTGCACGATCTACCGATCGCTTCAGGAGCTGCCGCGTGGCACTATTCTATGCCGCGCAAAGCAGCTGTGCTTCAAATTCAGCGGATAAAGGTGAGTATGGGATCCTGGGCTGGTGGGTGGGCCCAACAGCAGAGTGGTGGAGAGAACCGGTTTGGTCTCCACTGCTCATCACTCCTACCGGCTTGCCAGAACTGGGCCAAATCGGTCGAATACCACCACTGAAACAAATGTACAGCTAGTCTTCGTCTTATCATCACAATTGGGACCAGGATTTCAGTTACTAAATAAGGCAGTTGTTACATGAGTCATACCCAATTTTCCCAGCTTTTTTGCTTCTTAAGCGAATCACTGCAGTTGTTAAGTGAATCATATGATTGTTAAGTGAATCCGGTTTCCCACATTGACTCTGTTTGTCCAAAGCCAGTTGGAAAGATCACAAATAGATATCACATGACTCTAGGATGCTGCAAATGTCATGTTGGTTGCCAAGTGCCTGATTTTTGATATGTGACCATGGAGATGCTGTGACGGTCATAAGTGTGAGGATCGGTTGTAAGTTATTTTTTTTCCAGTATTATTGTAACTTTAAACAGTCACTAAATAAATGTTGACAGGTCTAGGACTACTTATATATGCACCATGTATATACACAAGATGGAGCAGCTGACCTTTTTCCCAGAACCATTAAGTGAATATTGGCTCCAAATGTGTTCTTCTCTGGACTTTGCTTACATGTGAAAGCATCAGATAATCAAAGGTTATCTTGGTATCTTCATTTCAACCATTCTTTCCTTCCAACTGTTAAGCCCACTGGAGGTTAGGATGGGATCTTGCTATATACTTTGTTCAAGAAGGTCTCATTAATTTGTTTTTAACATGTAATTTTGCTTCCTGGTTTATTTTTTCTCTCTGTAGGGATTGGGTATGCTTCTCAAGTGATTGTGGTACTCCTTAATTTCTATTATATTATTGTCCTGGCTTGGGCCTTGTTTTACCTCTTCAGTTCGTTCACCATAGACCTCCCGTGGGGCAGCTGCGATCACGAATGGAATACAGGTAATGTTTATGTCCTTCTACAGGGCATTAGCTACTCTTTCTCCGAACATAATCTTTTTTTCTCCCTTAAATCAATGGCCACTGACATTATTTCATGTTCTGTTGCATTTGCCTTTCATGCTTCCACTCATTATTGATTTCCTTAATCTCCCACCTCACCTCTTTGTATAATCCCCATTATAAAAAAAATAATGTTTATGAGAAATGTGAAAGAAATCTGTTTACAAAATACACAAAAACCTTGTTGCTACTTAGAGAGTTGCACAGACAGAATAGCTATCATTTGATTTTCATAGAACAGAGTTTGAAGGACCTAAATCATACCTGCTCCATGCAAGAATCAAAATTAAAACAGCCACAGGATCAGTTTCTCTGGCAACTTTCTGTGGTAAGAAACAAAAACAAAATCTCTTTCTGCAAGAGGACAGGACATACGTTTCTGAAACCTAAGGCCAAAAAGAAATAATCAGGTTTTGGTTTTAAAAAGCCTTATTAATCAAAACCTATCTTTTCCACAGATGAAGAGAACTGTATTCTTACATAGGAATATAGCCATGACTGAAATGGACTCAATTTTTGAGTATCTTTTCAGCAGCAGTAACAAATTTGTGGGCTTAAAAAAGCTGATTTGATACAATCTTTGACTAAACTGAAAAAGCTCTATTCCTCGTTTGTTCACTGGTTGGGAAAAAGGAAGTATGAGAAGAGCAAGTCTTCCCTTCTTTTGGTTCTGGTCCTATCTTCCATTGGCATAAGACCCTTCACATAAAACGTGTTCCTACCCCAACTTAAGGTTTTGCAATTCTATTGCTTCCTTTTCCTAAAGATGATTGATTGTACCCCATAGCATATTTTATTGGATGCATTAAAAGTCTGTGTGGTTTACTTTATAGAGAACTGTGTGGAATTCCAGAAGAATGCCTCTCTAAATGTGACGGTGGAAAATGCCACCTCTCCTGTCATTGAATTTTGGGAGTAAGTAAAAATCTTAGCCTAAGGAGCTTCTTTTTCTCCAATAGTGGCTATCAGCAATTCATGTGCTTTTTCCATATTGATTCTCCATGTATGCTGTAGATGTAATTAATTTGTAATTTAATCCCCACATTCTCTCCCAATTTTCCAGGTCTATATTATGGCCAGTGTTTTTTGCCCATACCACCATCGTCTCTTTGACCACCTCCTCTTCCATTTTAAAATCTAGTTGAAAATTATATATTCTTGAGATCATTTCCTTTTCCATTTCTTGTAGAATTTTATCTAATTGATTCATGTGCTTTTTTCATTGGATGCACTAGTATTGATATGATAATCCTTCATATGTTCAACTAGCATAAATATTACCAAATGTCCTTTCACTAATTTCTTACCAAAATCAAACAAAGGTGTTTTATTGGAATATCTCCTACCAAGAACTTTATACTATAAAACCTTCAGAACATCAACTTATTTTTAGAGGAATGAAAAGCATTTCAGGCAATAATTACTACTCTACCTTCAGATGCCGGATGTACCAGACAGCCACCTGAAGGTAAAGTTAAGATGATGACTCCCTTTCACTTTAGAGAAGCTAAATATTAGGTTAGGTATCTGAGGATGGCACCTAACAAGACAGAGAAAGATCCTGTCAATATTGCAAGATGGATCCTCCCATAATGTGATTTTCCTAAGTAGTTACCTATTAAATATGTGCCCCATATTTTTGGAAAGTGCCAGCCAAAAGAAAGCTGTTGCAAGGCACCATGTAAAATACATTATGGAGAAAGCAGAAAACTGGTTTTTCCAGGACTACAAATGAAGCAAAACATGTTCAATATTTTCATTCACAGGCGAAGAGTGTTGAACATTTCTGATGGCATAGAACATTTGGGCACAGTGCGTTGGGAACTGTCACTCTGCCTTCTTCTGGCCTGGATCATCTGTTATTTCTGCATTTGGAAAGGGGTTAAGTCTACAGGCAAGGTAAGCAGCTTCATTTCTTTTCTAATTTCTAGATACCTTAATGCCAAGCACAGAGATTCAGTCGGGTTGCAGCATAGAAGATTTAGTCAAGATTTATTCAACTTAAATCTTATACTGAATAATATAAGATCTTATCCTCTATACACAAGAATCTGGTCAACTAAAGTTCAACACCAAATTGGCGCCATATAAGGCTTAATGGAATTCAGGAGGCGTTGGAGAGCTTGTGGGAATGCAACTACTCTAAGCTGATGATGCATTTAACTCTGACCCCCAACTTTGCCTGCCATTCTTTACATGTGAATGATGATTGCTTAGAATAGTTCTTCTTGGAGCCAAATAGAAAGGAACAACCATGGTGACCACAGTCTGAGATATAATTGTTGCAAAACCAATAGAAAAAAGTGACCCTAATGCTATTGTATTTAACTTTTTTTTTTTTTTGCAAACAGGACACCGCAGGTATGGTCCAACACTGTCACAATTGACTAAAAGGAGATTTTAAAAAAATGAAGGGACAGTGTAAAATGTAAATAGAAAGAAAAGTGAAGCGGGTCAAATCATGGTGCTTGGAGGTTATTTATTTATTTGTTTAATTTATATGCCGCTGACTCATCTGAAGAATGACCCTGAGTGGCTTATAAATCATACATATTAAAATAGATAAAAAGCAGTAGACAAAAAAAAAACTAAAAAACCCAAGACAAGAATGGCATAGTGGTAGCATTTTCCCCATTAATCCAGCAGTTACTTCCAACATAAAGCACCCCCATCAGGACCCCAAATCAACTTTTAACACCCTTCCGGAACGATAAAGGAGACCTCATCTCATTGGTAAGAGATACTCCAAGAATCTATTCTGTTTCTTTTTTGCCTTTTCAACATTGTATGAACTACATGTGTAGAAGATATGACTTGAAGTAAGTATCAAAGATTACTCATCATCTAAGGCCAAAGCTTGCCTTGAATAGAGTAGAATAAAGCACACAATGGCAAACTACTCATTTTAAGAGGGGGAAGGTGCCTCTGCTTCATATCAAGACCATTTTTATCTGATCCCCCCCTTACTTTGTACAAAATACTATGGCTGTTTGGGCTTATAAATGTATTTTTCATGCATTTTCTGAGCCATTTCCAAGCAACATTCTGAAGCATTTCCAAGTATCTGGGAATAGAAAGTAATGAGAAAACGGCCTTCTCTTGATAAAGTGGAAGCCAAAATGTGGTTTATTAAATCAAATGAAAGAAATGCATAGCAGATGATCGTATAATTTTCCTTCATTGGAAAAGAAAAGATTGTCCAGGACAGACAATGATGAAAGTTTGCTAAGCAACTCAGGTGATGAGGTTTATACTAAGCCCCAAAATATGTAAATATATATATATTTATATATATTTATATATATTTATATATATTTATATTTATATTTATATTTGTGTGTGTGTGTGTGTGTGTGTGTGTGTGTGTGGTCCTCTTTTAGGGTAACACCCAGAAATTTAAAACTGGCCACTTGCTCCACTTGGTCTCCATTGATAAGCAAGGGCTGGATGTCTGATCTGTTCCTTCTGTAATCCACTCCTTGGTCTTATTGGTGTTGAGGACCAAGTTGTTGTCTCCACACCACGAAAGCAACAGGTCCACCTCATCTGGGTAGGCAGACTCATCCCCCCCGGAGATAAGTTCCACCACTGTTGTGTCATCTGCAAATTAAGCAATAGTATTACTAATGTGAGTGGGAATGCAGTCATGCACATAAAGAGTATAGGGTAAGGGACTCAACACACAACCCTATGGTGTACTAGTGTTAAGAATAAGGGCTGAAGAGGTATGATTACCTAATCTGACCCTCTGTGAGCGGCCAGACAGGAAATCCATAATTCAAAGGCAGATTGAATTAGAAAGCCCATCTGGCCAAACTAAAGCCATAACGGTTAAACCATGATTTATGAATGAAGATGGTGATGCAAAATGTTTGTCATAGAACATTTTGACTCTTCTGGGTGTTCTGAAAGTGCTTCAAAAGTTTTCTAATCTAGAATAGGTCATCTGGGCCAGGGGTCTCCAACTTTGGCAACTTTAAGACTTACGGACTGAAGTCCACAAGTCTTAAAATTGCCAAGGTTGGAGACCCCTGATCTGGGGCACCTCTGAAAAGATTGGCAGAGCCAATGGAACATTTTGCATACCTCGGTTTTTGAACTAGCACATTTTGGTCATTCAAGGAACCATGGTTAAGTAAACAAGGTTTTAGCATGATCTTAGAATCCATCCAGGGAATGCATTACTCTGTCTATGTGATTCATGCAGGCATAGCTGCTGTATTGCAGCGTTGTTGTTTTTGAGCAGATAGTAACTAGATGCCAAGATGGATTGGTGACTAAGCTGTATCAATGTATTCACAGTCAGAATGATCTGTGGGACGTGGTGTGCCTTGAAACTCCTTAAGTTAGCCTGGTGGAACCTGGTGCACTGATTCCATTATTAAACATTGAACTCTTCTCTTGGCTTCAGTAAATAGAGTGTTAATGTGTGAATATGGCAAAACCTAACAGGTTGTCCTTTAAACAAAATGTGTAGAGGTTGACATTTTGACAGGTGTAGCTTGGGTGACATCTGGAAGCCTATCTACCATCTGCCATCCACCAGAGGGATAATACAATAAAAGCTTGAAAAACCGAAACGGTAACCTCTTAAAGTGTTTGGCTACTATTACATCCAGTTTTGGTAACCACATTACAAAAAAGTTGTTGAGACTTTGGAAAAAGCATGAAGAAGGGGCAACTAAGATAATTAAAGGCCTGGAGACTAAAACATATGAAGAATGGTTGCAGGATTTGGGTATGGTAAACTAGAGGTGATATGATAGCTGTATTCCGGTATTTGAGGGGCTTCCACAAAGAGGCTTATTTTCCAAAGCACAAGGCAAAGTAGACCACAACCTACTTCTTAGTAAGCTATAAAAAGTGGAATAGATAGGACCACCACTAGATGGACTCGCAACTGGCTGGCAAACCGTACTCAACAAGTAGTCCTTAATGGGTCTAAGTCTACATGGAGGGAAGTAAGCAGTGGGGTGCCATAAGGTTCTATCTTAGACCCAGTACTCTTCAATATCTTCATTAATGACTTAGATGAGGGAATAGAAGGGGAAGTTACCAAATTTGCAGATGATACTAAGCTGGCAGGAATAGCTAACACTCAAGAAGATAGGCTCAAGATCCAGATGGATCTTGACAGACTAGAACACTGGGCCATATCTAACAAAATGAAATTCAATGTAGAGAAAAGTAAAGTCCTACACTTAGGCAAGAAAAACCAAAAGGACACATATAGACTGAGTGAAACCAGACTCAATAGCAGTAACTGTGAGAGGGATCTTGGAGTCTTAGTGGACAACCAGCTAAATATGAGCCAGCAGTGTGCAGCAGTAGCCAAAAAAGCTAATGCAATCCTAAATTGTATTAACAGAGGGATACAATCAAGATCAAGGGAAGTACTAATACCACTCTATAAAGCCTTAGTAAGACCACACTAGAGTACTGCATCCAGTTTTGTTCACCACATTATAAAAAAGATGTTGAGACTCTAGAAAAAGTACAGAGAAGAGCAACCAGGATGATTGGGGGGCTGGAGGCTAAAACATACAACGAACGGTTGCAGGAACTGGGCTTGGCTAGTCTAGTAAAGAGAAGGACCAGGGGAGACATGATAGAGGTCTTCCAGTATTTGAGAGGCTGCCAGAGGGAGGAAAGGGTCAAGCTATTTTCTAAAATGCCTGTAGGCCAGACAAGGAATAATGGATGGAAACTGAACAAGGAGAGATTTAACCTGGAAATAAGGAGAAACTTTCTGACAGTGAGAACAATCAACCAATGGAATAGCTTGCCCTCGGAAGTTGTGGGAGTGCCATCATTTGAGACTTTCAAGAAGAGATTGGACTGCCATTTGTCAGAAATGGTGTAGGGTCTCCCACTTGGGTGGGGGGTTGGACTAGATGACCTACAAGGTCCCTTCCAACTCTGATTATCTGTTAAAGAAGGCAGGACAAAAAAACAATGGGTGGAAACAAATCAAGGAGAGAAGCAACCTGGAATTAATGAGAAACTTTCTAACAACGAGAACAATTAACCAGTGAAACAGCTTGCCTTCAGAAGTTGCAGGTCCTTTATCACTGGGGATTTTAAAGAAGAGATTGGACAGCCATTTGTCCAGAATGGTATAGGGCAGGAGTGTCAAACTTGTGATGACACATTGTCATCACATGACATATCACAACTTTTTCCCCTTTGCTAAACTGGGGGCGGGCTTGGCCAGCATGTGATATATCCAGCTGGCAGGCTGCGAGGTTGACGCCCCTGGTACAGGGTCTCCTGCTTGAGCAGGGAATTGGAATAGAAAACCCCCAAGGTCCCTTCCAGATCTATTCTGATTGAGAATTGTTTAGTCCTAGTCAGCCAAAGTCCATTGACGGTTACCTTACCAGAGATAACAACATATTTATTTTAGCCTTGATCAAATAAACCAATTTTATATTCTCTTATTTTTCTTCTAATAATACTAATCTTTAGTCCAGGAGTCGCCAACCTTTTGGACCTCAGGGACCACCAAACTCATAATTTTAGATCTCGTGGACCAGAGACCCTGGGAAAATCCTAAAAAAAGTCTGCAGAAAAATTCCCCATCCCATTTTCCTACTGATCATTCTTTATTTGGGATCACAGGATACCGTCTCCAGCTCTGTTCTCAGGGAGAGAGAGAGAGAGAGAGAGAGAGAGAGAGAGAGAGAGAGAGAGAG